ACACCTGAAACTGGGGGAAAAGAAAGGGAAAGAAAGAAAAAAGAAAAGAAGATGAAAAAGAACAAGATAAAAAGAAAAAAAAAAGAATATGATCATATATGATCAGGCTGGTGAATAGATCAGTGCCACACACTAGATTTTGGGTGTATTTTGGTCCATTAGAAGAAACTGCCTCCCAAAATTTTAAAGAAAGAAAAGCTTGTATATGTACAGAAATAAGAGTAAATACAGTGAAGGGATGGAATATGACTGTAAAGATGAAAATTATAACAGATTTTATAAAAGGAATTTATAAGAAATTGGTTGAAAAAAGAAAGAAGGGAAATTAACAAAAAAGGGAGAGAATGTGATCAGGCAGGAGACTAGAACAAAGCCATACACTAGAGATTAGGGTATATTTTGGTCTGTTAGAAGAAACTGTATCCCAAAATTTTAAAGAGAGAACAACTTATATATATACCAAAAATAAGGTTAACTGTTATGAAGGGATAGAATATGACTCTAAAAATGAAAAATAAAAAATATTTTTATTAAAAAAAGGGATTGAAAAGATGTTGGTTGAAAAAGGGAAAAAGAAAAATTCCAAAAAACAAAAAAAAAGAAAATTAAAAAAATTAACTTTGAAAGACTAAAGAATCGGGGGGAAAAAGCCATGAATTCTATGTGCTGTATTCTCCTAGTGCTGGAGTTCTGCTGTTCTCTTTGATAGGTAAACTTGGTCTTGGCTGGCTGTTCCTGCTGATCTTCTGGGGGAGGGGCCTGTTGCCATGGTTCCCAAATGTCTTTGCCTGAGGCTGAATTGCCCTGCCCTTGCCTGGCCTGGGCTAAGTAATCTGCTCGGGTTTGCTCTCGGGAGCTTTTGTTCCCTGCAAGCTTTCGGTACAGCTTTGGAGGACGAGAGTGAAAATGGCGGCCTCCCAATCTCCACCCCGGAGGAGCCGAGAACTCGGGGCCCCACTCCTCAGTGAGCCCCCAGAGAAAAGCAGTCAATCACTCCCGACTCCGAGACCGTACTCCGTGCTCACCCAGCATGTGACTGCGCGTTTCTATCTCTGGCACCCGACTCAGTGTGGAGTCTCCAAACCCAGGAGATCCCTGCGGTGAGCTCCCGCACCACTCCTCCCAGGGGAGGAAGGGGAGTCTCCCCGGATCTGCCGCTTGTTCGGTCCCTGCTGGAAGAGCAGTGGCCCGACTGTGCCGTGGATCACGGTTTATGGCAACCCCGAGCTGAGAGCCCGCACCTCGGCTCCGTCTCTGCAGTCGGCTTCCCCGCTGCGATACCTGGGAGCTCTGCCGCACTCAGGCACCCCCGGTCTTTCTGTGACCCTGAGGGTCCTGAGACTGCACTGTCCCACGAGGGTTCCACCCCTGGCTTAGCCACTGGAGCGACGTCCCTCAGCGGAGCCGACTTCTAAAAGTTCCGATTTTGTGCTCTGAGGCTCTATCACTTGCCAGAAGCGGCCGATGGAGGCCCCTCCCCCCCACCTATCTTCCAGAATATCACCTCGGATTCACTTCTCCGCACATCCTACGTTCCAGAAAGTGGTCACTTTTCTGTTCAGAGAGTTGTTGCAATTTTTTTCTTCAATCTCCTGTTGAGTTTGTAGGTGTTCAGAATGGTTTGATCCCTGTCTAGCTGAATTCCTGGGACCAGAGGAAATTTAGGTCTCCTACTCCTCCGCCATCTTGCTCCTCCTTTTTTCATGTTTCTTAAAGTTCTCTATGTAAACAATTTATGAAATGATGCAATATTCACTCACAGTTTTTGGAATTTCCTATCTGGATGATTTGGTTCAGTTTATCAAAATATTTTTGTTTAATTCACTCTCTCTGTTAACTTTGTGTCTTTTTTTTTTTTGGTTTTGTTTTCAGGATGGTGTAGGGGTAGATGAGAAGCTGTCTTTGCGGCGGGTAGCTGTGGTTGAAGATTTCTTTGACATTATCTATTCGATGCATGTGGAAACAGGGCCAAATGGAGAACAAATTCGAAAACATGCTGGACAAAAGAGAACTTACAAAGCAGTAAGTTAAAAAACAAAACAAAACAAAAAACAAAAAGAGGCATGCATTTTGAAATTTGATATTATGTATGTTTGTTGAAATTGGATTAAATATTTATAAATATTCTATCTTCAATATAAATTAGACCATATTATGTTACACCTAACATTTAAACTATTATTATTACTGATTCTGTTTTGGCCATATATTCACTAAGTCTATTGCATATAATTTAAATCTGTCTCTAGCACTCTCATTTTGTTTTCTTTAAATATACTTAAAATGTGGTAGTCCCAGTCAAATGCCCACAAATGGGAAGATGTATTTTTGTCATATATTCAATATATATTCAAATCATAATATATGAATTATGGACTGGGACATACGAACTTTTGTACTACCACTATAATCTTAACATTCCTTCCCCTTCAAATCATATTAATATGTTCAGGTATTTCCTATTTAATATATGTTTCCATGCATAAGGGAAATTTGATGTACTTTTCTTGTGTCACCTTATGTTAAATACATTTGTCCTGAAGGGTATGCATTTCTTAATTTTCCAGAATAGAGAATTAAAATATATGTGTTGTTTTAATAGATCCAATTCCCTTAAACATTTTAAAATGGAAATATACAATGTTTTTATCGTAAATTATGTGGAAAACATTTAATTAACTGTTAGATATTGAGATATATATATTCTCAAAATGGAGTTATATATTATTTTTTAAGTTTCTATTATATTTACAGTTTGACCTAGACACTTTAATCTAGCTTTTATTTAATCAAACATTTTATGAAATCATCTTATAGATATTTCATCCTTTCTAGGAAAATTGAACAGTAAATTATTCTTTTCCAACATGAGCAAAGTATACATCAGAAGTGTTTTATCAGCAACCAGAATAATATCCTTTTTTAGAATTCTTATTTGAATTTTGCTTTTGGCTACCTTTTTATTGACTGTTTTCAGCTATATTGATACACAATATCAGTCTGGATCCATTTTTTTTTCAGATACAGAAAAATGTGTGAAATGCTCAAAGTTTCAAATACAGGTACATATGTTTGAAAATTAGCTACTGAGCATAAGAAATAGCTTCTTTTTCCATAACTATTTTTTGCTATATTTCCAGGGTCATATTGAACCTTTGTAGTTGCATAATAACCCCTAATACATGTTGTATTTATCTCTCCTTCTCTATGGTTTTGTTTCTTGGCTGTTTCCAAATTGCATGGTTTGTGGGCAGGCACTATTGTAAGTTTCCTTACATAATTCTGCCACATAAACTTTCTTTTGACTTACATATCCTAGGAGACATTCTTATCATGACTAATGACAATGGCCTAGCTTCTTAAGATATTTTTATGCAGACTAATATTACTGAACATACTCATTTTGCTTGTCTCCTAAGCTAGGGTTGTATCTTTGGATAGTAACAGGAAAAAGGATATACATTGATCTACTAATATCACTAACTGTGTACTCTGATGATCATGCATTTTCATGAAATAGCTGCCTAAACTTGATAGAACTTTGTAAGGTAGGAATGCATAAGTTCAGCTGTGAAATGAGAGCAAACCAATAAGCAAAAAAGCAGCTTCACTATTGGTAGAGTGTAGCAGCCAAATCTGTTTAGGTGCCAAAAGCAATTTAAAATGATTTAATCTTCGGAGTGCATTTATTAGAGACCTTTAATTCAAATGGAAACATGACACAGACCCAACTCTGTCACCCTGTTTTCTTAGCTGAAATGTAGGGAATGTGATCCATTGCCATTATGCATGCTAGACACTTCCAGTACATTGGTAAACATGTTCCCGACATTTATCATTTTGCACTAACATTATGAAGACATTTTCTGCATTTTGGGGTGGAAATACCAACTGTGGACATGTAAGCAGCCCTGAAGCCTCCTCCATTCCCTCTTGAGAACATCCTATTTAAAGATCCTTTCCCCAGTTGATTTTTAATTTCCACATCTAAAGTACTTTCACCTTTTTTCTAATATCATGAAGGGTCTTTTTTGGCATAATCTTTTGCCTTCTGGTATCTCTTAATTGAATCCTAGTTAGGAAAGATTTCCATTTTATAGAGTAATAATACATCACAGAAAAAAAAAAAAGAGCTGCTGCTGCCAGCGAAACTGCACATATCACTCTACCATAGATTAAGTCTAATGTTAATATTTCATATAAATGTTCACCTAAATGGGGCATAGGATGAAACGCAATTTGAAATGGAATGCGTTAGTGGTATTAGGGCCCTAGCCTGTTGGGTCAGTGTTGAGTTCTCAATACTAATGCTAGAATTGGCTAGTCATTGGTACCTATGGCAATTATAATGGTTCCCATGAAGTTTAAGATTTTTTTTTTCTACTTCTAACACATTAGTCATAGCACATGCATGATTATGTTTATTGACCTTTTTCTCCCTTTTCCTACATGGCCAAGAAACCATACTTATACAACTAATCATTAAAGTGTTTCATATTGTTTTAATAATGTTATCAATAGATTTAGTGGTCATTTTATTTACTTTGCCTTTTTTTGCCAATCTTTCTATGTTTTCACTCTGCAGGAAATGGTGGTCCTTTAATATTGGATTAACTTCTGAATGCTATTTGTTTTTACCTATCTGCAGTATGTCATTCCTTGAAATATCTAGGCATTATACAACTTAACTATTATTGCAATCTGATCAGACTATAGATAAAATTGGAGGGTATGTATCCTACTACTGATGAGCTCTTTTTAAAAATCCACATAAAATGACACATTTTAGGAATATGTAAAGGCTATCATAATTGTTTTGTTCAGTCATGGGGAATTCTAATGTCTTTTGGGTCTTTTTTTTTCTGCATTTGTCCTTGTGTATATATGACTATTATTGCTGCACTGAATGTGTTTCCTTCAATATATTTGACTATAGTCAACTTTTGATTATCTACATTCACAGAACAGAGAGGAGGTATGGCTCATTCAAATATCACTTATATTTGAATTTAAAATATATCTTTGTACTGAAAATTGAATGCAAGCAGGCTTAGCAATTTGGAAGGTTACTCCAAAATTAATGATGTAATACTGTAAGAAATTATTGCGAGATGTTGTCTTCCGGTACTTAATTCTCAACTTCTGCCTGAGCTCCACCTTTGGGAATATATCAGTCTTCTCCAGTTGTCTTTTATCACGTGTATTTTATTCCAGGCTAAGCACAGTTGCCCTTCCAGTAACATAAGTTAGGGTCCGATTAGAGGATTAAGTTTCAAAGCTCTCTCTTCTACATATAAAATGAGAGTGACTGCTGGAAATCCAGGAGCTAAGGGGAAAAGTCAGTGTTTTCAATAGAGAGAACAGTCTGCATATAAATGTGTATATGTACACACACACACACATACAACTTGTAGTGTGATACAGTAAACCTACATGTATTATTCACATACATCGCTGCCAATAATTACATTCATTTAACTCAGAGTGGAGAACATATGCTAGAGCTAAAAGAAAATAGGCCAGAAGCCAGACAAACTCAGCTTCAGATTTCAAATCTAGCACTTCCTATCTATTCAGTTTTGACAAATTATTTACTTTTTTCATCCCCCTTTTTAGAGGGAGATAACAATATGCATGGTGTGGTGAAATAAATGAGTTCCTGTACGTAAAGTGCTTGGCATATGGTAAACCTTGGAATAGTATTATTTTGCCTTTATCCAGTCACTACTCACTTTCCAAGTAGAAGGACCAGCAGGACAATTAACACAGCTCTGCCATTGTTCCAGTTATAATTATGGATATAATTTCCTCTGCCCACCCTGATGCCTCTGTGTTGGGAGATAGAAATAATAATAACTTCTCATGCATCCTTTTATGTCAAACTCTAGATGTCACCATCCCTGGAAAGTCCACAGTGTAAATTTACCTGAGGTTTCACTGGGCAGAAGGGAAGCATGAAAGCAGGCCAGAGTTTCCTTGTTCAGAAGTTCTCCCGCTTGATGAAGTTTATGAGAATATCATTCATTTTTCTTTGCTTTTTCCAAAGTTTAAGTCTATTATATTAATTTCAAGTGAACTTTTTGAAAAATTTTAAAAGTGGTTCTTTTTAAAGAATGTGTTTTTAATATGAGTTGAACATCTCTTTCTAGGGATGTACATAGAAAAACACATCATGTAGAATGTCTACATTCCTACTCTGAAAATTAAAAAAGGTACATCTTTATCTTATCAGATCTAGAACACTTAACCTTAAGACTTTAGTTAGCATAATTTTTGTTCTCTTCTTTTTATGAATACTTTATTGACTTAGTGTTTCCACTGCTAAATAGAATATCTTAACTTGCACTGGTTTCTGCTGATTTGTTATGTAAAATTTTCTAGAGTTCTTGTCAACTTATAATGAGATTAATGAGCAAAATTTGTAGCCATCGTGGTGTGAAAAAATAACACTACACTAAAATTCAAGAGCTCCAAACAATTAATTTAACTTCTTTTTGGCTTAGGTTACCTTTCAGTTTTCTTTAAACTCTGAAGGAACAACATCAAAGAAAATGAAACAAAAAGTAGGGGGTGATGCCTGGGTGGCTCAGTTGGCTGAGCATCCTGCTCTTGATTTTGGCTCAGGTCATGATCTCAGGGTCGTAAGATCAAGCCTCACATCAGGCTACATGCTCAGTGGGGAGTCTGCTCGAGATTCTCTCTTCCTCTCCCTCTGTCCTTCCTCCCGCTCGTTCTCTCTCTCTAAAATAAATAAATCTAAAAAAAACCAACTCTGAAGCAATAACACCAACACTAATGGTGTGTATGGGACCATTACTGTGCTGGCAACACAATGGAGATAGTAACAAAAACGAGTAAATTAGTTGGCACCAGAAATGTGCAAACATAGGGAATGTATCCTGCTGTTATAAAGGCAGATTGGCTGAGAAGCATAGCATAGAGATAGAACATTTTGGCTCCACTCTTATCTAGAGAATTCTTCTGTAAATAATCATAACGATGATGATAAGAATAGTAATGAA